AAATAATACTGCCCCTGATGGTACTATTACTAAAGCCCTACAGGGACTCTGCACTTTAGCTAATGAATTAGCTGAAAACTGGCACCAGTGACCATTTTACAGACTGTTTGGAAAGATGGTTTGGGAAATAGCAAGGTATGGTTGCCTCTGTTTTAACATCCCTTGTTACAGTTGTGGGAGTTTTAAATGCTGTAGGATGCTGTATCATCACTTGTGTGAGAGGCTTGACTCAAAAGCTCATAGAGGCAGCCATAAACAAGCAAATACCTATGACCTACACCCAAAATAATATTATGTTATTAGAAGAAAAATTGAACTATGAGGAAGAGAGTAAAAAGCCATTAGAGAAATTTGAGAAAGGACCAAGCATAAATTAAAATACATTACTGGGAATAAAATCAGAAATTCTTAAATAAAAAGAGGGGGGAACTGTTAGGAAAGAGTGTAAAACCTAAATGTGATTTATTCCCACTAGGATGTTTAAGCATTTTAACAGTAAGGTATTAATAAAGGGCCACGTGGTGGAAACTCCTCAGGCTGAGAGTGGGGGTGGGGGAATTGATAAGGGGTGATACCTGTTTGAGTTTTTTAAACCTACCAGTAAGTAAGATTAAGACAAATGTAAAGGAAAGATGTAACTGATGTCTGAGGAAGAATGTGAACCCTGTAGTACTCAGCCAGTGAGGAACCAGGGGAGTGACTCACGCACTAGGAGATAAATTTCTGGCACCTAACTCCCCAGGTGTGCCTGCCCACCAGGCACCCAATCTTGCAAGACTGTCATTAAAGCCTCACTCTGCTGTTCTTTGTCTCCATGTCCATTTATTGAATATGGACCAGTGAGTGTGTTTCTCACACTATTATCCAGGTTTATGCATTTAAAAACATCTGTAGATGCCTCAGAAAAAAGTGACTTGTATTAATACACAATCATAATAAAAGATTACATTAGAGTTTACCCATTACTACAATTGCTCCAGATATACTTACAAGGGATTGAAAAGGAGACTAAGATGGTATAAATCTTTATTACCAGTACCCAAAATGACTAAAATTGTTTACCTGTAGAATGAGAACTCCCTTAATTTATTTCCACTGTAAAAGTCAGTTTACAGAAGCATTTTTTGTGCTATTTTAGGAAAGTTCTATTTGAGGCATGGGTAATGCCTTTTCTCATTTACAATTATATCTACAGTGTTATGAAACGAATTCTCACTGACCTGTTGCCTTTATACTTTACATAGTGCAGCAGAGGGCAGCCCAGCTTGGCAGAATTTGTTTTACATCTTTGCCAGATGATAACAGAGGAAAACAGCTGTTCCTGCTAATTTCTAGTAAACATCTACCCAGAGCACATGTGTTGACACTAGAATTCTGCTACAGAGAATGTGTGGTTGAGATTTAATTATTGTACTGGGAAACAAAGAATTTTTCAAATTGTGGACAAAGGAGTCATACTGTTCTTTTCAGTCCTATCATTTCATGATTCTTGAGTACCAGTGGTTATAACTGGTGTTACTCTGTCTCTTATTTTTACAATGTCAAAAGCATTCGGTGAGTAAACCTGGCAACATCTTGATTTTCTATAATCCATTTGCCAACTTAAAAATGCTAAAAAATAATTGAAAAATACTCTTAGATTTGAAGTGTATTTCATGCCATGACTAAAAGTACCATTTTTGCTGATGCTATTAGGGTGGTAATTGCTTGAAGTGAGATTTAACTTCTTTTCTTCATTCTGTATAATATAGGTAATGCAGCATTAGGGAAGAAAAGCATTCCAATAAATCAAATGCAATGAATGTCCAAACAGGATCTAACGTGTGTCTATGAATTCTAAGTGTTTATTTTCAAAGATATTGGAAATGGTATGATTTTGTCAAAAGACTACATTTATGTCCCTTAAATCCCAATTCAGTGTACAGTAATGAAATTACTGTTCAGTTCTCATTTTTCATCCAATATGAATTTTAACTCACCTTATACTAATGTCCGTCTAATAAATTATTATAGCTAGTACTTAGCACTGGAATAAGGTTGAATTGTGCAAATTTGTCTTGTAAGACTAAGTAAGAAATTTATATTTGTTGAAAGCTGGAAAGTATGTTTTGAGTAAAATAAGTTGGATATGGACAAGAACTGTTCTCTAGTGTTGCCTATTTACAGTTCACTGAAAGATATGAACATATATGCTCCTGTATTTATTTATTTATACTTTAATGGCTTTATAATCCATCAAAATATCTAAATATCCTCTCTTACACATAAGAGATTTTTTTGCTATCATTAATATACAATTATATGAACAACATTATGGTTACTAGACTCCCCCCTATTATCAAGTGCCCAAAACATACCCCATTACAGTCACTGTCCATCAACGCAGTAAGATTCTGTAGAATAACTACTGGTCTTCTCTGTTATACCGCTGTCCCTGTGTCACTCGCCCCACAGTATATGTGCTAATCATAATGACACTTTATCCCCCTTATCCCTTCCTTCCCACCCATCCTCCCCAATCCCTTTCCATTTGGTAACTCTTAGTTCATTCTTGGGTTCTGTGATTCTGCTGCTGTTTTGTTCCTTCAGTTTTTTCTTTGTTCTTTTACTCCACAAATGAGTGAAATCACTTGGTAGTTGTCTTTCTCTGCCTGACTTATTTCACTGGGCATAATACCCTCTAGCTCCATCCATGTTATTGCAAATGGTAGGATGTGTTCTCTTCTTACGCCTGAATAATACTCCATTGTGTGTATGTACCACTTTTTCTTTATCCATTCATCTACTGATGGACACTTAGGTTGCTTCCATTTTTTGGCTATTGTAAATAGTGCTGCACTAAACATAGGGGTGCATAAGTCTTTTTCAAACTGGGCTCCTGCATTCTTAGGGTAAATTCCAAGAGTGGAATTCCTGGGTCAAATGGTATTTCTATTTTGAGTTTTTTGAGGAGCCTCCATACTGCTTTCCACAATGGTTGAACTAATTTACATTCCCACCAGCAGTGTAGGAGGGTTCCCCTTTCTCCAAATCCTTGCCAGCATTTGTTGTTGTTTGTCTTTTGGATGGTGGCCATCCTAACTGGTGTGAAGTGATATCTCATTGTGGTTTTAATTTGCATTTCTGATGATTAGCAATGTGGAGCATCTTTTCATGTGTGTGCTGGCCATCTGAATTTCTTCTTTGGAGAAGTGTTTGTTCAGCTCCTCTGCCCATTTTTTAACTGGCTTATTTGCTTTTTGTTTGTTGAGGTGTGTGAGCTCTTTATATACTTTGGGTGTCAACCCTTTATCGGATCTGTCATTTATGAATATATTCTCCCATACTCTAGGATACTTTTTTGCTGTACAGAAGCTTTTTAGTTTGATATAGTCCCATTTGTTCATTTTTGCATTTGTTTCTCTTGCCCAGAGAGATATGTTCATGAATAAGTTGTTCATGTTTATGTCCATGAGATTTTTGCCTATGTTTTATTCTAAGAGTTTTATGGTTTGGTGACTTAGATTCAGGTCTTTGATCCATTTTGAGTTCACTTTTGTGTATGGGGTTAGACTATGATCCAGTTTCATTCTCTTACATGTAGCTGTCCCATTTTGCCAGCTGTTGAAGAGGCTGTCATTTCCCCATTGTATATCCATGGCTACTTTAACATGTTAATTGACCATATATCATTGGGTTTATATCTGGGCTCTTTAGTCTGTTCCATTTGTCCATGAGTCTGTTCTTGTGCCAGTACCAAATTTTCTTGATTACTGTGGCTTTGTACTAGAGCTTGAAGTCAGGGAGTATAATTCCCCCTGCTTTATTCTTCGTTCTAAGGATTGCTTTGGTTATTCGGGATCTTTTGTGGTTCTATATGAATTTTAGAACTATTTGCTCTAGTTCATTGAAGAATGTTGTTGGTGTTTTCATGGGGATTGCATTGAATCTGTAGATTGCTTTAGGCAGGATTGCCATTTTGACAATAATAATGCTTCCTATCCATGAGCACAGGATGTGTTTCCATTTATTGGTTTCTTGTTTTATTTCTCTCATGAATGTCTTGTAGTTTTCCAAGCATAAGTCTTTCAGTTCATTGGTTATGTTTATTCCTAGATATTTTATTCTTTTTGGTGCAATTGTTAATGGAATTGTTTTCCTGTTTTTCTGCTAGTTCATCATTACTGTATAGGAATGCAACAGACTTCTGTGTATTAATTTTGAATCCTGGAACTTTGCTGAATTCAGATATTAGATATAGTAGTTTTGGAGTGGATTCTTTAGAGTTTTTTATGTACAGTATCATGTCATCTGAAAACAGGGACAGATTCACTTCTTCCTTGCCAATGTGGATGCCTTTCATGTCTTTGTTTTGTCTGATTGCCATGGCTAGGACCTCCAGTACTATGTTGAATAACACTGGGGACAGTGGGAATTCCTGTCTTGTTCCCAATCTTAGAGTAAAAGCTTTCAGCTTCTCGCTGTTCAGTATGATGTTGGATGTGGGTTTTTCATATATGGCCTTTATTATGTCGAGGTACTTGCCCTGTAAACTCATTTTATTGAGAGTTTTTATCATGAATGGATGTTAAATTTTGTCAAATGCTTTTTTTTTTGTATTCCATGTCTTTTAATAAAAATGATTTCCAAGTAATAGTGACATGACAGTAAATTGTAAAGTGCAGGAGCACAGAGGGTTAAACAATGCTAATAACACTTCCTACCAGACAGCTTCTAATGCCTGCAGACTTTTTTTTTTAGAACTATTTTTGTTCTTTTCCCCCTCCCCCCACCTCCTATTTCCCAACATGTAAATAATATGATTTTGTGTCTGTTCATAAACGTATTAGCCCTACTCAGTGTTTGCTGATTTCCTGGTCGAAAGCTGGGGATTGGCTCAATAATACTAGTCTCCCCTTGTCTCCTTTTGCCATCAACATTTGAAAGAAATACATTATTTTTAATTATATTATTGGTTACCTTATACCCAGAAGTGATGTATTCTTTTTTTGTAATTTCAGTGAGCATTGCCACATATTTTATGAAAAAATGAGGACAGGAGTGTGCCTGGCTGCCCTCCACATCCTGTGAGTTTCACTTTTGCTTTTCCATCATGAAATTGGTAGCATTGTACTTTAGAACAGGCTGTTCCATTTGCACTGTTAATCAAGGAATTTGTTGATTTTTAAAATATATTTTGTAAAGAAACATAAAGAATTAAATATTTGTGTAATAGCCTAATTCAAATGTTTTCCTTCATTTTTTTTTTTGAGAGGGCATCTCTCATATTTATTGATCAAATGGTTGTTAACAACAATAAAGTTCAGTATAGGGGGGTCAATGCTCAATGTACAATCATTAATCCATCTCAAGCCTAACTCGTCACTCTCCAATCTTCTGAAGCATAACGAACAAGTTCTTACATGGTGAACGAATTCTTACATAGTGAATAAATTCTTACATGGTGAACAGTACAAGGGCATTCATCACAGAAACTTTCGGTTTTGATCACGCATTATGAACTATAAACAATCAGGTCAAATATGAATATTCGTTTGATTTTTATACTTGATTTATATGTTGATCCCACATTTCTCCCTTTATTATTATTATTATTTTTATTTTTAATAAAATGCTGAAGTGGTAGGTAGATGCAAGATAAAGGTAGAAAACATAGTTTAGTG